GCCATGTACGAGTAAGAACGAGTACGGCCATGTACGATATGGGGTATTACTTCCTGCTTCTTACTTATCCATCGATTTTCATCGTTATCGGCAAGAGAACAGCCTTTAGCACAAATAAGAAAAAATGTCTAAGGGTTGTTAGTTTTTTAATTTTTTTCAGCTTAAAATTTGAATTTTTTTCATAAAAATTAAAATGTCTTAAAAAATGACCTGAGCTGGAAAATCGATATACAGATCCATAAATACTATCTATGTATATCGTATTTAAACAAAAAGCAGTTATATAAACATTCAAACATTTACGATTTCAAAAAAAAAAACGTCCAAAAACTTAGGAAAAAACTGCCTATTACGGGTTCAGAAAAACCGAGCCAATCACCCTACTATTTAGATATAATAAGCTCAGCAAACGTATTTTCCAATTTCACTGTCCCACCCTGCGGGCTTTCGGCTAGATAATGGCGAGCTGTTGGCGATTGTCATGCTGATTGCCTTAGTAGGTGGTTTAACGAATGACGCTTACTTACTTTATTCCCTCCCATTTGCTACCAGCTGTATCATCTACGACAGCTCTTGTTGTTACTGCTTATCAAATTGGCTGGAAAAATGTGTCATTGTTATTACATTTTCATTGCGATTTTATTTTTATTACATTTTCGGTATTTTTTTATGTCACAAAGCAGCAGCTTATTGTCATTTTATTCACATTTACTTTTGCTTCGAATCCAGTATGTATTTAGACCACCTCCTATCGTTTTATTATCGCCAATTTTCGCTTTGACTTACGAATTGTTAAATTCCATTTTTTTCTCGTTAAAAGTTTATTTTATTATCAACGCACCGAAAGAATGCGAGAAATAAATGGAGATTTTTCAGACGACGATGTACATTAGACTGCATCACTCCCCATAAAAAAAAAATCGGTACTTGGAATTATAAAATCTATTATATTTTAAGACGTCCACCGAAATGTTTCGAAAAAATATTAAGATTTACGTGAGCAGGACCGATTTGAAAATACCTCCAAAAATGGAGTTTTTTATGAATAAAAGTAGTTTCTTAATGATTTTTTTTTTAAATCCCTTCAAATAACGAAACAGTTTATGCTTAAAAAATTTTAACGGAATTGTAATATCGAGATTTGTATGCTGTTTTTTAATTTTTTTTCAAAGATTGGTATAAGAAAAATTTGAATGACTGAACCTAAATTCTTACGATTTAGACCCTTGAGGTATCATTAGAAAGGTATTTTCTCACCTTTTTTATTTCTTTGCTTATAAACTCATTCAAAGGATGAAAGAAAAAGGTAGGATGAACGAACGTCATTTCAAGTTGCATTAAGATGTGTTCGTATTTGAAAAAAAAAATTGGGACACGAATGACTTTTTTTTGCACAGAAATAAGAATAGTAAGAAAATACCTTTCTACCGAGATCCCATAAGTCTAAAGCAGAATAGTTTTGGCCCAGTTATATAAGTTTTTCGTAAATCATTGTTTGAAAAAAAGTAAAAAAAAAAACAGCATCAAAAATCCCATTATTATGATTTCGTTGAAAAGATTTTTAAATATTTTTATGCAGATTTCCTAAGTTTAATCTGTTTAATCAATATTTATCGATCGAAAAACTCTGTTTCTCTTCAGGAGACTTCAAATAATAGTAGCAAATATTTTATTTTACCATTTGTTAATACTAACGTTTTTTTGGTCTCCCATATAGGTTTTTGGAGATTTTGGGACCTATAAAATATAGTTAGCGTGAAAAAATAGTTAAATAAACAATTGGTTATTATTATAGGAAGTCTGTTGAAGATAAACAGAGCTCTTTGATCGAAAATTACTGATTTTCAAGAATTCCATACGTGGAAAATTTTGAGCAACCTCTAAATAGTTTTTGACTCCAAAATAAAAAATAACAACAATGGTATATTTTCTTCAGTATAGAACCATCCCAGGGGGTGAGAGCACACAAATTCGGACTTTACGTTTTCACATGCATTTTTTGACCACCCTAATGTACATACATATGTATGTATATGGATATGTTGATATATGCATGACTTACTTTATGTGCCTTTGGCGTGTAATGTTTATGGAATTCGCATGTAATTGGCTGGAAAACTTGCCTCGCTTGGTTGTTAACAATGTTGAGATTTTTCATTTCTTCTGAGACATTCCTCTGCCTCTTGCATACTCACCCCCTGTGCAATGAACTTTCTTTGTGGTTCAACGCAAAAGTATTATCCAGTCTCGAGTTTTTCTGCCGTTGATAACAAATAATACAGTCATATTTCAATTCTAATTATGTACATACATATTTTGCAAGTGATTTCTGCCGGGTGCCTTTTGTATTCATTTTTTTTTTTTTTGAAATGCCGCCACATACTCTTTTGTATTTTTTTATGTAGCAAAATAAATATGAAGGACTAATCATGGTTTGGTTCTTTATATATACATAAACATTCGTTTGTTTACCCGTAGCTATTCTTACCCACGATTGCCCTCAAAACCAAGCAACTTTACGACTTGAAAAAACATTAAAAGTACATTGAGCAAAAGTTTACTTGCGATTTGAATCATATACCTATACAAAAATACATATGTATGTATGTAGGTGCTACAATTTGTGTATATTTGTAAATTTACATATGGCCGTATAAGAAAAAATATATATATGTATGTACATGCTTTTCTTGGAAGGGCATACATGCATATGTATATAGGCAAGCAAGTATTTATTTTGTTATGACCGAAAGCTCTAAAAGCAAATTTGACTCTATATCGTCTAAATTCAGCCGCGCATTAGAAGGAAAGTAATACATTCGTCCTAATCATGTGATAAACTTAAAGCACTCCAAACAAGTTTTAAGAGATTCGAATAAATCACCTACTGGCATAAATAGGCGCGTTTCGACATCGTAAAAGTTTTTCGATTTAATTTTCAAATCTACATTTTACGTACTTTTGAATTTGTTAGAGCAAAATTTTACAAATCGTTCTCTAGCAATGGTTCTATGAAAACCGTGTAATAAAATTGTTTTTTTTTTCTAAATCATACGATGCAAAGAAAGTTGAAATAGGAGCCCGACTAATAGCCTCCTTTTTGCCTACATGGATCCCCGTTGGTAATTTCGAAACACGCTGCATAGATGGATTATGGGCTTTTCATACCAAAATTGTTTGATTTTTTTCACTTGGTAGGGGATCAATGAACTTTATTGGATCTTCTTGGTAATTGGCTTTACTCAGTTTCCGCTCTTGCATCCGCGTTCGTGCACCCTGTGAAATATGAGAATAAGGCTACCAATCCGTGTGGACCACTGGGTCACGTTAGAGGTAAAAGGAACTTTAGAGGGGCCACTCCAGAGAAGTTCGTCAAAACGAATTCCGATTAGAAGGTTCCGAAAGCTTTAGACGAGACTCCTTTTTTAGATGTCATGGATTAACGTTAAAATGGGTATGATTTGAGTGCATGTACTGGGGATATTCGAAACTATAATGGAGGAAGAGTCTATACACGGTTGTTTGATGTCCTCGCGGAGACAAAGACCGACAACACCGCTATGCAAGAAATGCGATGAAAGAAACAAGACTACGAAAAAACTTGTTATGTCTATAACTGTTGCCATGTAAAAGAGCGCAAATTCGGTGTTGAATTTATGGTGGGAAAGAGACTTCGGCGCCGAGTGCTGTCGAGCATCTCGTCCCAGTCTGCATCAAGAAGAGATTCTTCAACAACATCTCTCTCGTTCTTTAGTGCCCACGCCCCACCGGAAGTACGAAATATCCGAAGATCTAGTTCATTAGCGCTTGGATCACACCTACGAACGCTGACCTGTCACAATATTAAAATCGTGTTTGGCGAATTCAGTGGCAGGCTGGACAAGGGATCTTTGGTGCCACCGCCGAAAAACTCAGCATCCACAACGAAACGTCCGATAACAGAGTCAGGTTGATCAACTTCGCTGGGCCTAAAAACGTGGTTGCCTGCTGTACCAGGTTCCAGTACAAAAAGGTCATTCAAATTACAAGTACGTATCTCAGCATAGCCGGTTAGACATACCTACGATTCGAGGACCTAACATATACTCAGTATGAGCATAATGAAAATCGTTAATTCTATTTGCTTAGACAAATTAAAACTCGTTTCTGTTCTTGTAGGAAGAGTGCGGTGTAATGGAATTACGGTTTCAGAAAGTATGTTGAGAATCGCGTGTTTCAGAAGATCAATTTATATTCCGCAACGAGAAGAAAGTATTCAATTTTCGGAAATTTACGATGAAAACAGAGGATCATCTCGGAAACTTGAAAGAATTACTTCTAGAGAGATCAACAGTAAAAATACTCTGGTAGTGAGTACAGAAGATTACGTCATAAATAGATGCTTCTCTAAGTCCTATTTGTACTGTGTCAACTGATTGCCGAATCTTAATGGGTTAGGTAAGGTAGTAGCCCCGTGTAACCGGAGCACACTTAGACAATATAAGATTGTCCTTTGCGATACCACAATTTGGAACAGCTTACTAAAACGCCTGATCTCAATGCCCCAGAGCTCCTTGGGGCTATTTAGAAAGTGAGAGCCAAAGTGTTGAGGTGATTCTACCTCCTCCTCTACCAGGTAACCGCGACATAAGGGGTCCGGTAGAATGTTCAACCTTACTGTGTGAATACCGATAGGACAGTGACCCATTAAAACCCCCCACCAGAAGTGAGACCTTTGGCTTTGTGAGTATGAGGAGTTCACCGCACCCCTCCTCCAGAAGTCCCGCCCGGCCCACTCATCCCTTGAGGGAAAGTGGGCAGAGAAGAAGCTCCTAGGAGCCCGAATCTTAATTAAATCGATTTGAAATTAATTTGATGCCATTTGGATTTAACTGTCCATCGTTGCACTTTCTTATTGGTATCGGACACAATTGATAAAAAATACGTAAATATAAACTTTTTCGGTACCTTATTATCTATTTAATAGAAATTTTTTGCTTAAACTAATTAAAGGCATCGCAAATGATACGAATTTATCAATGAATTATTCATTGCATTTTACAATTTAATCTCGTCACTTGATTATAATCTAAGTGCGAAAGCAAGCAAATTATCCTCTTTAATGTCACCACAACTTCCGGCCGCCTGCTGTTCGCTACTTTATTAAAAATCAATAAAATTCTAAAAGACATGCAAACACAATAACAAAAGCAGAAAAAAAAGCAAAAGAGGATTCGAAAAATAATGAAGGCAATGTCGGTAAAAATTCTATAATAGAAAACATTGCACCGCAAACCCCCCTTCTTTACAGCCGCTGTTGCTGCTATTCCTCTTACTACTACCACAGCAGCTGCGTCGGTTGTTGCTCGCCTCTTGACATCCTCAAACAGCAGTGCGCCAATTGTTGTCGCCGTTGTTGTGCAGCGCGTTGTGGTTGTGCAGCTGGCAGCCGGCAGCCGGCAGCGGAGGCGCGGAGGCCTCTAGCGGCTGTGACTTCTATAAGCCGCCTGTTTTTGTTCTTGCTGTCGCTGATGCCTTCTGGTCCCTCGCTGCTGCTGCTGCTGCAGCATTGCTGTCGTTGGCGCTTTGTGCCTGTGTGCTTTTCAACACTCTCAGCTTCGAATAGATGACGTCCCAGTCGAGGTAGGCGCCCACAATGTACCGTATATTCTGCTCGGTGTCATCGTACCCGGTGCGACCGTGCAACAGACGAATATTATTGAAAGTCAAAACGTCGCCGGGTTTCGTTTTAAATGCAAAGGCGTCGCGCCGCGCCAAACGCACAAACTTGGCATAGGCCTGATACCAGGGTATGACGGAGCGCAGCGCCACGGAGAAATGACTGTCGCGCTGGGGAACGCTGTGATTTATACGCGTGTAATTTCCGTCACTGTCTAAACTGTAAAAGAGAAAAAGAGGAAAGGTAGCCTAAAAAATATGTACTGCGGATGTTCGGAAAGTGGCTGTGGCGCGGCGCTCTAGTAGAGGCGGCGGAGAGCACAAAGTATGTATGTAAGTAGTGTGCGCGCACAAAAAAAAAACGAATAAGGAAAATGAGTTGTAAATGAAGCGACAGCAGCGGCGACATGAAAAACGTACAAAACGACGTGGAGTCACTACTCCGAAGTTAAAGGCTATAAATAAAATTGAAAATCGATTTTTGTTGCATACACTCAGGCGCCCTACCGCAACTGCAATCACTGGTGTGCATAGGAAAATCGCGCAATGCAAATGTGGCAACGAACGACACAAACACGCGAGTGCGGGAAAGTAGTTGAGAAACTCGATTTTCTTCGGCCGCTTAAAGTTTGACTTGGGAATTGACGCCTTGGTTGCTAGGCAAATAAATTAAATAGCGCCACTGAGGACGCCTGAAGCCGCCGCAGCTGCATTGATTTAATGGCACGATGGGCTCCTACTTCACCACTAACTACTCGGTACTCCTTTATGCGCTGCAGCACTTCCTTTTCGCATTTTACTCACCATATCACCGGCGCCCGCCAGATGTTATGAAAACTCCGCCCATCCTCGCTGCCAATATCATTCCAATCGACCAACGTCTCTGTAAGTATATGGAAATCCGTTGGATGTTCGACGCGCAAGCGATCAGCAATGTAAAATCCGTCGACCAGCAGATTACTGCCACCTTCTGACTTTGACTGCACCAGGCAGTGCAGAATGTTTACGCTCGGCTTGTATTCGTAGTAGGGCAGGTCGGTATGCAGTGGCAGCAGATGGGAGAGGTAGGCATAATTCTTAGCGCCTGGCTTGGCCTCCACAATGAATTCTTCGCTAGTGGGCGAAAAATTTAATGCCATGATTAATTTGGATTGTTTGATTTGTGCGAAGAATTCAATTGATTAATCTTATATGTATGTATGTATGAATGTGCGCAAGCACTGCTTACCCATATGTCGTGCGTCGTATGAAACCAACACGGTCGGCTAATTGGCGTACAACAGTTTTTTCCAACGGTGCATACTCGATGATGGCAACACCACGCACTGCTAGCGCCTCGAGCCATTGCCGGAGAGCTGCAATGGGATTTTTGTTAAAAAGAATATGTTTAATATTTAGGGGATATATGAATAAAGGAGGCGAATCGCGTAGGGACACTTGCGCAACTCGACTAACGTTGTATCACTTTCTGCATAAGTATTGTCGAAGAAGTTAGTAACTGCCTTCGCCCTTTACGATTGCAAATACCGCTCGTTCCAAATTAAACGTAATAAGATTCGACTTGATGGCCTTCGATTTGGCTAAAATTTTGCACACAGTTGAATTTCATAACAGAATTGACAGAAAAATCTTAAACATCATTTGAAGCTCTGGTTTCGAACCGAACCTTCGCCTGTTTCGACCTTTAACCGAACCACGGATCGGACGGTTTTTATTATAAAATGCAGAAACCGAATCGAAAACTACTCCAAAAAATGGTTCGGTTTGGTTCAAAACGAAAATCCACTAAAGAATTTTTCAGATTTTGTAACTTTTTCTAAAAATGCAACCCTTATGGTAAAACTGGGAAAATTTTTTTTCTTTGATGGCAACTCCGTGTGTTGTAATTTCTTCCATATAAGAAATGCTTGGAATGTTATTACATATACGTATGGATGAAAGTGCTTGGCACTGTTACCAAAAAAAAAATTAAAAAAATTTTAGCGAATTTTAAGGTGCATCAAACTCACACTTTATTTTTCTAAAATGAAATGAGCTATAAAACTGCATACTATATTTTTCAATTCTGATTAAACAAATTTGAGACTTTGACGCAATTTTGTTTAAATTACAAATTTTTTTCTAATTTCCGTATCTATATACATAGATCGAAATTTTGATTTAAATTATGAGCTATACTTTTATAAAAAATTAGTGAACATTAAACGAACAAAAGAAAAATAATCAAAACTGGTAAAAAATTCGCACTTCTAACTTAAAATATAGCAAAATATATATTAGAGAGTTGCCACATGATTCAAAATTTCGGTTTAAGTAAACTAATAACAAAAAGTAAATATTGCAATTTGGCTGTCCAAAGAAAAAGGTTTAAGAAGGCTTACAGCTGAAAATATTTGTGTAAGGTTGCCACCTGTTTGAAAATTTTAAATGAATTTAATTGATAATATCAATTAAATATTACTATATGGGTTTCAAACTAAAGGGATTTAGTTAAGTTTACTGCCGAAAATATATCTGAGGATGGTTGACACCTCTTTGAATAATTTTTTTTAAATTAAATTGATAAAATATATGAAATATTACAAACCCAATGTCAAACTAAACGGGCTTAAGAAAGTATTTGGAAAGCTTAATTCAGTTCAATTGATAATATTGAGATTTTCTCTAATGTACTTTTTATTGATAGGCGAGTAACCATTGGTATTTAGAATTTTTATAGGGTTCACACCTGTCTAAAAAACTATAAGCTCCGAATCGTTCGTTGGATTACAAAAAAATTGGGTATCAAATGAAAAGGATTGGCCTGTAGAATAGCACTAATATTTTGTTTTTTTGCATAGGTTTTCTACCTGTAAAGAAGCTTACTATATTCAATCATAATAAGCGTAGGCATCAGTTCTGCACCGTGATGTGACATTTGTATTCCTTTAGTATAAAAAGTGAATCATTTGAAATCAACCGAAACGGTTCTTGTACAAGCTATTTCTAAAGGGTTCGAACTCCTGAACCGAACCGCGTCGATTTACATGTATTGCGATTCACATAAATAAGCAGAATTCAAAGCGTCACCAAAGCAGTCTACATCAATCTGGCCATCTAAGTTTCACGCTTTAGGTAAATTCAACAAATTTTCATCAAAACTTTAAGCCTTGACTCAAACTTACACACGAAAAGGTAAATATATGTTATACGTTCTGGTAAAAATAAATTGTTATCCACTTCCCATTCCATCTTTCATCGCATTCTCACTCACCATCATCAGTCTGCATAACATCATCAAAGTTGAATGTTTCTGTAATTTCTCTAAACTGCTTACCAGCCCAATGCTTTGGCTTCGGCCGGTAAAATTCATCCAAATACTTTTGTTTACGCTCATCACGAAATTCGCGCTCACTTAGCCAATGTAGATCGTATGTAGAAACATGCTTATCGCTCCACTGGATCGTCACTTGCTCAGCGACTGAGTCAACCTAGTAACTCAAGAGAAGAAATCACTTCAATTAATCGCATTATAATATATACATATACCTATGTAAATAATAAATTAACTCACCTGAACATCGAGCGCCAACACATCGGTATCGAAATTATCCCAATCGATGCGGCGCGACTTGGAGCTCTGATGAAAACATTGTTCACAATAACAATTGTCACGTAGCCATACACTTGGAAATTTCATTGTTGCATTATTCTTCTGCTCGTGTTGCACCACAACATATTTACCATCTGCCACTGTGGCTGTTAAGTGGCGCTGTATAAGTTTTTGTAGATGGCAGATGCTTGTACGCGTCGCACGCGTTAATGCACCAAAAGTGGGTGAGATCATTTGGTAAACAAGTGAACTGCACCGTTTGAAGATCACCATGAGACTGAAATGGGCGCGCTACCGCGATGTGAGCAAAGGCTGCACGTTTAACCGACTACAAACGTTGCTAGTCGACGATGAGAGCGTGCGATTGGACTTTGGTAGCTGTAGCTGACGTCAGCTAGTAGCTGGGAGCTTGCAAGTGCTTTGCAGCTATTGAGATACCAACGCGATTAGGAGACAATCAATCCCCAGCAGCGAATGAAATGCATTCCGTATCGATATATAGAAATGTCTAGCAAAACATTTTTATGAAGATCTAATGCATATAAAATGAGGGTTCGCCTGTCAATCGATGAAGGTAATTCGAAAAAAATTGATGTAGTATTTGATACATTGAAATTGATTACAATTGAGAAGCAGTTCATGCATATTGTACTTTGGAGTCGACTCTGGAGATAGTGGTGTTGTCATGTAATCGCATTTTTGCTGCTGGGTTACAAAATAAGTATTAGTCTGAAACCAATGTCGCTTTGATCTCTGCCTCTATGTAGATTCGAAAAGATTACGTTTACATGCTCACTTGACTATTAGTGGCTGAACTTATGAATATGTAGCGGCTTTCTTATCAATAATCAAGTTCGGTCTTCGTTATCGGTATGAATATTTATTTATGAATATTTTTGAACAAATTTGCTTAGGTTCGCTTTAAATATTACTATGTATTTATACATATCAATAGTTTAGAGCAAAATTAAAGCTATCATAAAGCCGAAGCCCATTAACATTCATTGATAGTTTGGTTTCAGCCGTACTGATGCATGGCAGGGCCAGATTTAGTCGAAATCAAAATTTACACTTTATAACCATTTTCCTCATTAATGAATATTCTATTATTTTTTTTAGATAAAACAGAATTTAGTTTTCATAATTAAGTAGTATTTATTATAAATAACAAGCGGCCGCTGTGGTGTTGTGGTTAGCAGTGCACGCTACCACTCCGCAGGGCCTGGGTTTAAGCCCTGGTCAAAGCAGCATCGCCAAAAACAATATAGAAAAAAAGTTGTTTTCTTAAAAAACAAGAGCATTGATTAAGACTACAGAATTGGTGACAGAAATAAGGTCAATTAACACTATTTCGCATACAGGCGCGAAATAAAGATATAGTTGACGCTATTTCCATTTGAATGAGTAAATAGCATCATTTACTTTATTTCCAAATTTTTGTTGACTTTATTTCGCATTTGAAAAGGTAATAACGTCAATTGGCGTTATTTCGCACCAGTATTCCAAAAGTATCAATTGACCTTATTTCCGTTGATCTTGTTACCTGTCACCTACGGAATTATGTGCGATGGAAGCCACTTTGTGAGAAGTACACCACATCATTCTATGGGTGTCAAGGCGCGAATATGCTGATTGTTTGTTTAACGGCAGGAGATACTTCGTCTTGTCCTCGTTTAACCACCAGATCCATTCACTTTGCTTCCTTGTCCAACTTGGAAAAGGCAGAAAAGACTTCGAGGTTTTTGTTACCGATGATGTCGATGTCATCAGCATACGCCAGCAAGTGCACGCTTATGTAGTAAGTGGATCAGTTCTGCGGCTCTTATTATCTTCGTTTGAAACCGCCGTTTGGAAGCATACGGCTCGAATAGGTCTCTCGCAATTCTAATGGAGCTGGTGGTGTTGCTAAACGTCATTTTACACAGCCGGATTAGTTTCGCGGGGATACCAAATTCGGACATCGAGGCATTTCGGCATAAAGTGAATACCTGGCCTACGCCTAATCAGTTCGTTGACGGCGGGCTCCAGTATTTCACACAGTATGCTCGATAAGGCTTTGTAACCTATGCTTAGAAGGCTGAACCCGCTGTAGTTGCCGCGTTTGACGTGGGTCGCTTTTCTTGCCATCATCAAGCTTGCGTTTATCTGACCGTATTCTGCATTAGAGTTGATCCACCTTACCAACTCCACGCCGTTCTTGATTACCTCGGCTGGCAGGCCGTCTGCAGCTTTGTTGTTTTTCAGCCGCTTAATTCCTATTCGTACCTCCTCAGAATCAGGTGGTGGAACTCCATCGTCATCTAGTGGGGGCTCGGTATCGTCTGCTCCACCACTTTCAGTTCTACTTCCATTCAATAGGGTGGGAAAGCATTTCGCCGGTAATTTAAGTACATTCTGGACATCGATCACAAGGTCGCCATGGTTGTTCTTACAAGAGTTCGTCGCGATCTTGTAACCATCGAGCGTTGTTTTTTGTCGGCCAGCATTTCATGCTCTTTGCACTCACGGATTTAGGCCTCATTCTTTTTGTTATGGCAAATACATCGCGCCTCCCTCTTCAATTCATTACAGCGGTCCTAAATAGCTCGCGTTGTCCCTCAAATAGCTGCGTGGCCCTGCAGGCGGCACCTTTTATCTCTCCAGCTTCGTGACATTCCTCATCGTACCAGTTGTTCTTTCGGGCTCGCTGAAATCCAACTACTTCTTCGGTCGGTTCCACTGCTCGCATATGTCAAGTTTATGAAGATTGGTCTCTGAGAACAATTGTAGAAATCGGGTAGCGAATGCATTGGCCGACTTTTGTGACTGCAGATTTTCGACGTTGAGCTTTACTTGCATTGTTGGGCGCACCTTTATTGCTGCACAAGAAAATGGTCCGAGTCGATGTTTAGCCCTCGGAGCGTACGGACGTCTAAAATACTGGAAGCGTGCCTTCCGTATATAAGAACAGGATCGATCTAGTTTCTTGTTCTTCGATCTGGAGACATACTTGTTCGACCTTTTTATGCATGAACCTAGTACCGCATTCTACCATGTGCCCTAAGCGCTTATAAATTAGATCTTTGGATGCCTCGTCCTTCGCTTCCGTAATGCGGATTATGGCTAGACGCTCGTCCACCGCAGTTAACGACAAATTGAATTTCAAACTTCCGTCGCGATTTCCCAAAAGTCGTTAAGTAAGATCTAATAAAACCAGCAATAAATGTACTTCAAGCGATTTTCTTAAATTTCCAAAACATTATTCGTAATCAAGAAAGTAAGCTCTATAAAATTGTCTGCCATTTTCTATACATACATACATACATATCTTAGAACGCGTCTCAATGTTCTAATGTAATAAATATGAAGGAGTTCATCTGCTCAATTGACAACAAAGTCAACTGGTACAGCGAGCACAAGATACATTTCCGCACACACGTAATATTATATTTTTATTTAATTCTTTTTTTCCACGCGACAAATATGCGCATTTCAACGCATGCGAGCGCCTTATACTATGCAACGGCATGCAAGTAAAAACTCACACATGCACACCCATTCACTTACATATATACGCACTACAGTAAATTTGTGTTGCATATTCACTTACAAATCAGCCGCCCAACACACAGCCGCCTACGTTAACCGCCTGAAAGTATGCAATTGTTCTGCAAATGTGCTTCGTTCGTTCGCATGAAATAATTTGCGGTTTACACTACGTTGAAGGCATTGATGCGGGACGCTAGCACAGACAGCTATGTATATGCATATGTACAGTTCTGTATGTACATATGTACATATGTATGTGTCTATATAAGGGAGCGCTGGAATAAAATATTTCCACATTCGCTCTGCTGACGAACTTCACTTCATTCATACAATTGCTGAAAGTGAGGGAATGTGTCCTATGAATGCATGTATGTACATATGTAATTTCAAATGAGTAAGTAAATATGTAGTATGTACTGCTATTTTGTCATTGCACTGCCGTACGTGCAACCATCAGTCGACATGCAACGTGTTACTTCACGTGTCTTTCAAATGTTTATTTCTTTTATTCTGTGTTTTTTTTTGTATGTGTGCGGCCGCATGTAAGCACCCTGTGGAGAAAATTTCTAGTTTTGAACTGGTGCGCTTCTAGTAAATTTAGATCCAATACTGGTTCGCGATAAATCTCTTTTTTTATGCAAACAACTGGCGAATTTAAGACGGCGATGTCCTAGGAAGTGGAAATCATTTCCCGCGGCATTACCCTTTCTATAGTGCGGAACAAGTCCTAAATTCGACAGATGGGAACTAGTTCGCTCCTCATCTAAATTCGGCAACTTAGACATCAAAATATATGTATTTTCTTATTAAAGGCGGACTCAGCAGCAACTTTTCACTCTTAGCTAGCGATATGTAGTTTTAATAATTTAAAATAGTTTTTTTAAAACTACCACATTTCGGTGCTTTTGCACTGGTGGGTTTCTAGTTACTATCGGCCTGGTTCGTTCTTGGCGATAAAGATCTAGTACGGAACTAGAAATTTGGTTCACAAATTCGGGGTTTCCCTGCAGGGCATACATACATACATATAAGTACGTATGATATGTGTGAACTCTGTCGGTTTGTGTCTATTCGAGTGTTGTCATGCATTTTCTCACTTCGTCAGTCTGTCTGCCAGTGTGATGCACTGGTATGCATATTGAATGACTGCATATGTATATACATACATATATGTATGTATGTATGAAGGCATTTCGCCCTTAAAATACACGGATGTGTAAGTTTGTTTTAGCATATTTATTTGTCTTACACGTTTTCTCCCTGCTGGGTGTCATGGCGTCCTAATGTAATTGGAAATTGTATGTGAAATAAACAAAGACGTGCATGTTGACAATTCTCCTTTCATAGTAACTTGCCAACATTCGTTCGTTACCAATTCATACTCGTACGGCAGTTACATCGCATTTTATTGCATTGCATTGCATGTATTACACATACGTGCATATGTAGAGTTATTCATGCCGCCATATTTAGGTACATATCTAACGTTTGCATCTCTAATTGCTCTCTAGCCGCTAACCTTTAAAGTGTCGACATAATGAACAATATTGCGAAATAAAACGAAGAATAGTAACGTAGTTACGTACATACTATCTATATAAATATACATATACAGTGGCTTACAAAAGTATTTTGCTTTGATTTTTTGCGATATTCAAAATAAATATTTTTCATGGTAAACTTTTTTCGTAATTTTTTTTTATATAAATACAGCCCATTCTTAAACAAAAAATAAAATATTTAAATAAAAAATTTAAATCTTAGAGAAAATTAAGGAAAATTCAGCGAATTTTTACA